TGGGATGAATAATAGATCTACATAAAAGATATATTAGTTCCAATAGTATCCATTGTTTCTATCACCAATACTTAAAAAAAAAATTCTGTTATACAATCAAAATAGGCTGACATTGGTAAGTATTACATGTAAAAATAGTGCACTATTTTTCTTTTGCAAAGCGAATTTGCATCCTAAGAGCTGGTAAACACTTTTTTCAAAATACAGAAAAGGATGAGACTTTAAAAAAAATTAAATTAAGGCATTCACATGGGAAAAGTTGCCTATCATGAAGCATTAGGAAATTGATATAATTAACGTCAAACTTCCTGTTACAGTAACCGCTTAAACATGAACATGCAGCTTCCATGGGGTATACACAAATGAGTGATATAAACTCCAACATTATGGCTTTATACAAGTGCATAGTTGCAAATGCAGTAAGTTATGATATCTGATTAATGTGTATAAAAAAATAAAATGGGGCATCTGAAGAACCCTCTTGCAGTATTACAGTACTATATATATATAGTGTGTGTGTGTGCATATAGAGAGAGAGAGACACACACACATACATATGCACACACACAGTCTCATGGTCACTTCTTAAAGATGCAGCCTCTATCACTGTAGTGGAATCCATTCCCAGGCTCTTCTGGTAAATGTGCTGGTGAAATCTCTCTGTTGATGCTGAAAGATGACTTCTTTAACTCTTGTCAGTCCTTTTGTGCAATGTAGTGTGAGTGACTGCCAAGAGAGCTTTATGGAGCACGCTTCGAAGAGCTGCAGATGCTGTTCTTACTCTATCGACCAACGTTGTTGGTTCAACTGGCTGCTCCAAAGGAGCCCAGAAAATCTCCAAGATTTATGATTTATATTGCAGGAATAAAGGGAAATATGTATATGTATGCGTGTGTTTGAGTATCAGTCTCTCAGGAAAATACAGCTTTTTAAGAAATTTTGGGCCATCATATTTCAGTCTTGTTTTAACTGGAAGAATATGATCACCTTGAATAATGACTGCATTCATAGAAGGCAGCTAGCTGGGAAAAAAGGGAAAACAAAGTTAGTTGATACAGTAAAATAATTTAAAAGATTGTTAAATTCTTTGAAAAAGCATTCCATTTATATAATTAAACTTGTAGTCTTCCAACTCCTACACTTTTAACACCTAAATCATGCATAAAACGTATTTATTACTACATTACTGTTCTTATTTTTAGGTACATGCAATTACATTCTTACATATTTCTGTATTTTCTACAGACATGACACACAAGTTTTAATACGGTTAACTGGCTATTAGAGTTAGATAATACATCACTGAGTGACTCAAGTGAATGTAAGTCTGACTTGGAGATTAACCGCTAGCTGCCTCATGTAGCTGAAAAGAACAGAAGGCTTATGGACCAGGTTCTACTTGACTGTTTGACTCTTAGTCACATTTTTTAAATCTATAAAATGGGAACAAACACGTTGTAGTAGTAAATATATGTAAAAAGTACTCTGTATATCTTGGTTATAAATACCTCCCAATAATATATGATTTAAGTCTATTTTTGCAATATGCTTACTTAGGTTAAGACACACATTACTTCTTTTAAATCCATTCTGTATAAAAGGTTTGACCATGAGGTTCAATTTTCACTCAAATTTCCTTGAGCCACGGTTAACCAAACTATGTGTTCTACAAGCACAAGAACTTTCACAGCACATCAATAAGCATTCTTCAGCAAGAGGAACATTAACTTTTCACAGGAAGCAAACATCTCACAGCATGACAAAGAAAAGCGAAATCAGAAACAGTATTTCACAGCACTTACTAGACTTACGAACTATTTACGGCTTCCATTCTTGCACGTTAGAAAGAAGGAAGGAGAGGGGGATGGAGGGAGGAAGGAATCCCATGCTATGTTCACAAACTAATACAGTTGTAGGAACGTGAAAACATTGTAAATTTTACTTCTCTGAATATGGCTTCTTTGGAATGAACAAAAAGTACCAGAATTAGCTTCTTTTGTTATTTGTACATGTTTCATTCCTAAGATAAAAAATTGTAATTCCAACTGTATTGAAAATATATAGCCAATAAAGATTCTGAACATAGCATTTCACTTTTATAACTTGACATGGAAATTTCAGTTAAAACTTTTCTGAAAACTACTTTTCAAATACATACTGTTAAAACTTAATAAACTTTCAAAACTAGTCAAAAACAATGAAAACCCAAGTGCAAATCACATGCGCTACTTGGAAATACTAACTCATTTTTCATTTTTTGATTTACCCCATTTATTTCTTCAGAAATCAAAAACATCGTCATCATCATCACCACCATCAACATCATCAAATGACCAATCCCAGTCTTTAAATGCCAAATCAAGCAATCTGCAATAGGAGGTTTGCAAATTCACATTCTAGCACTCTTTAGAAATGGCAACTTAATATGATAATAATCTAGAAATCACACTTTGTGCTGTGAAGATTTTAACTCTCCCTTCATCAATAACAACACAGTCAAAATTAAGATGGTAGCACACAGGGAGATCTTCTTTCTCTTTATATGTAAGTGCATATAACATTAGCCCGGTCTGATTTCTAGAATACCAGAGACCTGAAGACAGGTAATACACTTAGGGATAAGATTCGAGCTTTTCCCCACTGGGCTCAAATGAAGATGTAACCATCTTGATGCCCAGTTTGATTTGTATGAAAGCTCAACATTTGTCAACACTCCCTTCAAAAAAGGACCCAGATTGTCAGCTCACATTTTTCTAGAACAGTACCACAAGTCCCAGTTTAAAGAGACAGTAATACTAAGAATGCAGCTTTCTCAATTCTATCTGGACACAATATGCTCAATGGGTCACCAACAGTAATGCTCTCTATGAAAAGCCATGATTAAGAGAAAAACCACAGGTATATAAGCAACTTATCTTGGCTGAATAAACTGGACTTAGAACAGGGTTATATGTGGTCTTTTCTTTCCAATCCAATCCAATCATCTAATATTGCTATCATCTTTATTTTTAAAAATAGGTGTAACTTTCATTGTTTTAACTGTGAGGTTCATGAATCAACTTATGCCAAGAACTCATTTAGTCCCCCAAATCTCATTTGTGACCTCAACTTTAAAGTTGGTTCTTGGGGCACCTGGGTGGCTCAGTCGGTTAAGCGTCTGCCTTCGGCTCAGTGCATGACCCTGGAGTTCTGGGAGTGAGCTCTGCGTCGGGCTCCCTCGTCATCGGGAGTCTGCTTCTCCCTCTCTCTCTGCCCCTCCCCCTGCTCCTTCTCTCCCTCTCTCTCAAATAAATCTTTAAAAAAATAAAGCTACTTTTTAAACTTGAATTTATATGGTTACTCAATGCTATTTATAATGCATATTTGCAGGTGTTATACCAAGAGATACTGATATAACTGGACTGAAGGGGGAGTGGGGTGCAAGTATCTGCATTTTTTAAAAAAGATTTTTATTTATTTGAGAGAGAGAGCACAGGCAGGGGGAGAGGCAGAGGGAGAGGGAGAAGCAGGCTCCCTGCATCAGTAGCCCGATGCAGAGCTTGATCCCAGGACCCTGGGATCATGACCTGAGCCGAAGGCAGACACTTAACTGACTGAGCCACCCTGGTGCCCTGAGTATCTGCATTTTTAAATAAAAAATCTGAAGTGAATTCTAATGCATCTGGTTGACTTTGGTAATCACTGACAGAGTATGTTGATAGATGGTTACCTTAATTGAAAGGAAATAAACCAACTCAAATTACTCTATTTCAAAATGTGCTAAATGTAGAATATATCACATTTTTCTAGGCTTACACAGACAGTAACTTATAGCTAAGGTACTGCTTGGGAGATGGAGATCAGTGGGCTGTCCTGGGTGTTCAAGCCCCAATTTTGAAAAATCTGCATTTCATACCCTCCAAAACCTTTGAAGTGTGTGTGAAGTGCACACCCGTGTCACAGTTTTCAAATTTTTAAAAGTTTGGTCACTAGGCTGTTAGCACAATGCCTGGCGAGACTTCCCTTAAAGCCCCCTCAGCCCCTGCCAGTCAGCCATCTAATTCTTGACATTTCAACATGAGAAACTTTCTCTAATTTGGTTTCTTCCCTCCATTTTCACTGTCAGTACCCTAGTGAAGGAGCTCATTAAGTCAACACACACCAGTCTCTTGCTGAAAGACTTCTATCTGAAGAACAAAATAAAAACTCCCACAGCATAGTGCACTGGGTCCTTTTCAATCTGGTTCAACGTTTTCTCTCCAGTGACATCTTCTGCCACTCCCTGTCATTACCGTCTCCCCACTCTAACCCAATACAATGTTACAAACATATAACACGGAAGTAATTTTGACAACTTGGTACCTCTGCACATAACATTTTGCCTACCATTGTCTTTTCCCTTATTTCTTTGTCTGGAAAATTACTGAACCTCCCTTTTTGAAGATCTTTCTTAAGAGATGCCCTCAGGCAGAATTCTCCATGCTTTCCTTTGTTCCCCTGTAACACTCACTCACGCCTCTATTATAAATAACATTTAAAAAAGTACCGTAACTATCTGCTTTTCTAGCTCCTCCATTTAATTGATCAGTGGGTACACACTGCAGGCCTGTGAAACTTACTGCCAAAGACTGCTTTGGAAAGGAGCATTAGAACTTTGAGTTCTGCTAGAAGTACGCTACACTGCCTGTTTCTTCACATGCTGCCAATAGCATGTTTCTTAATCCTTACCAGTTTGGCAGGTTTTACATTTTACTTTTAACTTAATTTTAACTTCTTTGCTTAATAATCAAGTTGATCACTTTTTCATATTTATAGTAATGCCTGTGTGTTCCTCACTGACTTTTATATTGGGAAGAGGCAATCTTCTTTTTCTTAATGACTTATATAAGAACTCTGTATAGAGAGATATAATCCATCTTTCTCATTCACATTGCAAATATATATATGGTGTTTTTAAAATTACAAGGCTTTAATTTTTGGTTACTCAATCATTAACTTTCTTTCTTTGCTTTTACTCTTAGGAAGTTCTTCAATCCAAGATCAGATACATATTCACCTATTTTCTTCTGTGTCATTTAATGGATTTATATTTGACATTTCAAGTTGTACACAGCTTTTTCATTTTTATCCAAATAATCAGTCTGTTAACTTTCTAATATTTATAAATGGAAAAGATTAAAACTAAAATAATGGTAACATGGGGCACCTGGGTGGCTCAGTTGGTTGAGCATCCAACTCTTGATTTCAGCTCAGGTCATGATCTCAGGGTCATGAGATGGAGCCCTGTGTCGGGCTCCGCACTGGGCATGAGGCCTGCTTAAGAGTCTCTCCCTCTGCCCCTCCCCCCCAATAAATAAATAAAATAATGATAACATAAGAGCTCTCCCTCACCCTTAAGTTGTAACTGTGTTGGCAATGCTTTATTTCTTAAAACTGGGTAAATGAGCATTTGTTGCATTTTTGCTTTATACTTTTCTGTGTGGCTTAAATATTGCATTTTAAAGAAGACCTTTAAAAGAAAAATAATTAAAGAGAAATGCCCTCAGCAAAGACCAGCATTCTGTGTCCTACTTTGGAACAAAATAAGGATCGCTCCAAACCATCTTTATCACAAATGAACATTATATTCACAAATTTTCTACTTTTCCAGCATTATTTTTTTTTTAATTCAAAGTTACCAAGAAAACATTCCTCTGGAATAGCATTTCTACACATTATGTTTTATAAGCTGTCAATTAATTCATTTCTACTCGTATCACTGTGAGGCAGTGCAGTATTACAGCTGAGAATGTAGGATCTGGAACTAGACTACCCGGATCTGAACTCATGGCTTTGTTGCTTATTTGGTGTGTGATCTCAGATACACAGAGCTTCTGTGCCTTAGCCTCCATGTCTGTTAAATGGAGACATTAAGAGCTAAATCACAGGGTGGTTATGAGGATAAATAATTCAGTACACTTAAAACTCACAGAAGAGTGCCTGGCATATAATATGCCCTGAAAAATGTTGTCTTCTACAATAGTAACTAACACTTGTTTAACTATCACTTCCCTACAGAAAAAGGGAAGTGCTGCAAAGAGTTAAAAGGAGAATCAGAACCAGGAATGTCACGAAAGCCAAAGGGAAAAAAAATGTAATGGTGTGGTCGTTAACAAACACCGAGGAAAAGTAAAAAAAAAAAAAATCAGATGATTATTTATAGGTATTATGTTTTAATGCATAATATATATAAATACATTTGATGATTTTGATAAATGTCTAACAAAGCCAAACATTTGTCTTAAGAAAGACACCATGTGAGTTAGTTCAACTAAAGCTAGACTATACAAAGAGCTAGATATTAAATTACTGCTGATATCGACCAGAAATGCTGTTCCTTGGTGGTCCTGGACGATCCTTTCACAGCTCTACTAATTTGTCTACTGGAATGTTATAAATTAGTGGAATGTTAAAGGCCATCAAGTCCAATGCTTGACTCCCCTTCTAGAGCCATGCTGTTCTGTCAGACTATATACACATGATAAATTGAGGAGGGTGCTCTTTCCCAGTGTCACCAAGCAGTCACCTGAATCAGGTACTAACACTGTTGGTGACAGGGCATGCACTATTCTAGAGCAAGCAAAGTCTTCCAATTTTGGAAATCTCTGACTGCCTGATACTTTTCCCTTGCTGAGTTACAAATGTGCCTCTCTGCACTCATCTACAGAGAAGTCCTCTAAATCTTTACTGCTGTTTACCATCTCCCATCCTTCCAAATAATTTCTTCAGAAGGCTAAATATCCTTAGTTCCTTCACTTGCTGCACATGTAACACTTTTAAATGATCCATTACTCCCTCTGTTATTCTATTCTGTATATCCTCCAATTTGTGTATACTACTCTTAAAATGTGACACCCAAAATGAAATGCAAACTTTAGGGTGATTCATGTGAGACAGACACAGATCCAATTTTATGAATTAATGAAGCAATGGAGTCACAGATGTTAAAGACAATGGAAATAATGCTGCAGATACATAATAAAATACAAAACTGCATCTTAAATGTGCCCATCTTTATGCTTAAAATTTCAGAGTATATTAGACAAAAAGTGTTCACAAAAATACCCTATACATCTTAGAGTCAGTTTTGATATTAGTTTTATGTACATGCATAGTTGTGAGAGAAAGAAATCCCTATTACTTACTGTTGCTATGTAAAATGTATTAAAAAATCAATGAAGAATGATTCGAAGGGCAGGGCCAGAACTAAAACAAAACAAAAAGCAACAAAAATAAAAAGTAAATGTGCCTCCAAAAAACCAAAATGCTAAAGTGGGGAAGAAGGGGATGACAAAGTATTTATAAGTTAGTGAACATGAAAATTGTTATGTAACTGAAACCATGCCTCACTTAGTCTGAAATCCGCTTCCATAAACGAATTCTATGTGTTATCACAAGTAGTGAAATCATTAATTTATCAAATAGTACCAGAGAGTAAAATGTATTAAAGGAGTGGAGTTCTTACAGTCCTGAATCTGAAATTATTTGCCCTTCTAAAGTCTCAATCAAAAAGAAAGATAATAATACCTCTCTATTCTACTCCACAGGAATATTCTCAAGATCAAATGATAGAATATGCAGAAAGCTGAATGAGAGAACATATTATGGAAGCACTTTGGAAGCTGTGAAGCACTAGAGAGTGTAAGCTATTACAATAGCATAGCATCTATGCACTAATAGTTCTACAATACTAATAACAGAAATTTAATTTTTAGATGTTTTGCATATGGCACATGGAAAAACCTTCAGTGTCTTTGAACTCTTTGAATTTCTTCAGCTTAATTACTATCATATAATCACTAATTTTATAGTATTTAGTTTTCTCATACCTCACAGAAAAATTCAACATTTTCACTGCTGAAACACCAATTCTACCTTTGTCATTCTAAATTATTTCCTTGAGATAATAGTTTCAAGAAAAGTTTCATATAAGATGTTTGTGGTTTAGAATGAAAAGATTTCTGATAATACAACCAATGCACATCATTATTCATATACTGAAGGTCCTGTGTTAGGGCACAAAAAGGATACCTGAAATTAGATACCTGATCTTATATATTTTATCCTTTAGCTAACTAACCAAATCTTCATGGTCATTTCAATGAATAGCAATATTTACAAATGCCATAGCTAGTAAGCCAAGAAATGGTTATTCTGAACCAAGAATGAAATGATTATTGTAGCCATATGAAAATAGTTCCATCAAAATGTTTTGTGCATTCATCATTATCTGGGAATTTATTCCCTAGTCCCAACTCCGCCTCAAATACAAGGAATGCTCACTTTACCCATTAGTTAATATTTGCATTTTTAAGATTGATCTATTGCTCTTTAAATCAGAAACAAGTCATTATTCTAAACTTATAGATGTGAATTAAGAAGATTTCGGTCCTGCTTCCCAAAAGTCATCTAACATAAAAGAGGCTTAAGATGTTTGAAATACTAAACATAATGTGTGCACCTGACACAGGTCTGTGTGTACATTGTCTACTAAATCATATTTTAAATTAGTCAGTGTGCTTATAAAATCTTAAAATACTATGATTATATACATAAACATGACAAAAATGAGCCCTTTATATATTTTTGGTTGAATTTAATATATGTGTGTGATCTAGTAAACAAATTTGCACTACATTCAACTAAATCAATGAGTGAGCCATATACACTAAAACAATTTCAAACATTTGGTATTCCATGGTTCACTGACATACCGAGCAAAGGAACACTACAATTAGGAAAGTTTGTAGCCAAACATAAATAGCAAAATATTTTAAAAGATACAAACTTTTAATCACATTTTGATTTACTACCTTGGTTTGTTTGGGGCAAGCTGTCGACTTGGCCGTCTAATAGACTGGTTTTGTTGTATCTTCATCGAGGTTCTAGGAGATGACCGTGCAAAAGGGTCTGGAGCTGGAGGCTTTTTAGGGATCTTTTTCACCAACCGACTAACCCACTTCTGCTGTTCTTCTGTAGAATTTGCTAACAACAAAAGATTCTTTGCCGTCGAAATATCATAGTAAACTATAAAGAAATATTTGAAAAAGATTAATGTCTAAATTCATCTGAACATAAATAATATTGATGAAGCAAGTAATTCACTATTTACCTTTGCAAGGTGCTATAATCTCCTCCTTTTTGTCCATGTGATCTTTATGACATTTAATATGGCAGCGCCGGCACTCTAAAGCAGGAGGAGGTTTAAACATATGCCACAGTGGCTTCATACAAGCCTCACAGTTGGTTGGGAAATGATAGAGGGTAGGAATAAATTCGTGTCCCTTATGGCAAATATAATTTGATTTTTCTCCCACTGGCTCCACTGGAAATTCTTGTTCCTTCTTACTTTCTCCTTCATTGGCATACAGAATCTATAAGCAGCAAAAAGAATAATGAGTGACTTTCAAAAGAAATTAGTTTTTATGTAGTAACAATTCCTACAGTGTAAATAAAATAATATTAGCCTAAATCATTCAATGAGAAGAAAATGCATTTGATGTTCAAACATTAGTAGGTTCTGTCTAATCAAGAGCTTCTACGAGAAAAGTCACTGGGGACAGTGACTTGGCTCACATTTCAGAAAAAACCTATCTTGTTCAAACATGCCTACTTATTTTCTCCACGACATCTTACTGTGTTTTAGCAATTTAATCTGCATAGGCCAAAAGGTAAATTTTCACTTGATGGGTGTTAAAACGTTTTCCTGGGAGGGAGTATTCAAAAGAATCCCCCGAAGAGATGTGGTAATAATACAGATTGATACTCTACGATTCTCAAAAACAGACAGGCGCGTGATAACTGCAAACACAGCTTTAACGGAAAGATTTGTATTTGGAGAGCTGAGGAAGAAAAGAGGACAGGATGTATAATACACTCCAAATAAACATCATAAGCATACAGAAAATAAGTGGCCAACTCTCCCACAGTACACCAAGCACAACGGCTTTTATATAGAAGGAACTCAATAACTAATTTTTGGTTTGACTAATTTTAAAATGGAAGTAGAGAGGGAAGAATTTGGCTTCACTTTAAATTGGAAGCAAAACGGTTACTGGGTGCAGAATTTAACTTCATAAGCAACTTTTTAAATTTTCTAGACAGCTAAGCATAAAACCAGAAACAGAAGAGAAAAAAACATCCTAACAGGGGTGCCTGGCTGGCTCAGTCAGTAAAGTGGGTAACTCTTGATCTTGGGGTTGTGAGTTCGAGCTCCACGTTGGGTGTACAGATTACTTAAAAATAAAAAAACTTAAAAAAAAAAGCAAATAAAATAAAATAAAAATGTCATAACGCACCTTGAAAACAAGGACAGCAAAGGCCAGAAACATGATATAAACACACTAAACTTTAACAAGTGCAATGGAGAGAGGAATGAAAATGTATCCAAACAGAATAAGCATGAAAGACACAGAAAAAACAAATCACCTTTAAATGGGACTAAAATTGAAAGGTAATCTAAAGAAGGCCCAAGAATAAAGAAATTTGCTATGTCTTGTCATACTAAGAATCTTAGTCTAAAGGTGAAAAAAAACAAAATAAATTCAACCAACCAAAAACAAAATAAAGCTATTTACCTGAAATATCCTTGGAATTTCTTTAGCATCTGCTCTGTATACATCTGTCTGTGTAACTGGTCGGACATGAAATAATTTGCTATAAAAGATTTTTAATAAAGTAATAAAATATTACCAAAGGATCAAATTACATTAGTTATCTATATTTATGTCAGAAGTTAAAACTGACTTTCAACCCATGTTAGAAGGTCAGAGGATACCTTCTTGGTTCTATTAATTCAATCACTCCTTGAGATTTTGAGTATTTCCAGGAACTCAGAAATTTTCTAATTACTTTCAGAGAACAACATATTAAAGACCCATGAAATAAAGATGTTTCAGCTAACTCTATATCCCAGACTTTCATCTCTATGAAGCAAATACAAGAAAATGTAACAACAGTATAGTATGAGCTATACTATATGAGCGTATCTATTTACAGACTATATGAGTAATAAATAGCACTAATTTGACAAAAAAGGTCACATTAGTCTCCTTAAAAGAGAAAGTTTATATATATTCTAATAAAAACACTTACTCTATATCTAAAACCATGTAAGGATTAGATTGTTCTTTATCTTGTTCACTGTCATAGAAAAGAATCTTCTTACTGCTTACAATCACATACTGTTAAAGAGAGGGAGGGAAGGAATTAATGACTAAAGTTAATATATATCTTATTTATTTTCTTTGAAAATAAATTCTACAGCAATAAAAATCTTATAAAATACTTAAGTTAAATAACTAAGAAGTTCTCAATATATCCTTAGAAAAGTCTTCCTTAAAATAACAATAAATTTAGTTTGCATACATTTTAAATAAGCAAATTGGAGAGGAAATAAATACAAATATTTTTTGGATTGACTTAGCTTCAAAATCCAGTAACACAGGTAACCTTATTGCTATGGTTTGAATGTCTGTGTTCTGCCCAAATTTTTATGTAAAACCCTAACACCTAATGAGATGGTGTTAGCGGGAGGGGCCTTTGGAGGTGAATGAATAGGCCATGAGAGGAGAGACCTCCTTAATGGGATTTGTGCCCTTATAAAAGGGGCTCCAGAGATCCCTAGCCCCTTCCCCCATGTGAGGACACAGCAAGAAGTCTGCAAACTGAAAGAGGGCCTTCACCAGAACCCAACCATTTGGCATCCTGATCTTAACTTCCAGGCCCCAGAACTGTGAGAAATAAATTTCTATTGTTCATACACTACCCAGTCTGTTTCGTTACAGCAGCCTGAATACACTAAGACATTTACCAAAAATGAACATCATAATATCAATAAATCATAGTAACAGAGGAAAAGAAATTAATAGGTCTTTCTATCATACCCAGAGTTGTTTTCCCACTGAAACAGCAAAACACCAAGGCCAACAGACTTATGTTTTCCTAACACAAAAACCTGTTTTATTAATTATGATGATGAAAGGTTTTTCTTTCCCTTCACAAAGATACATTTTATCACATCATTCTAAGGCAGGACGTGCAAAGTTTTATGTGTCTAAAAGTTCTAGTTATATGTATCTTACAATTACAAATGTAAAACGGCTAGAGCTAAACCAAAAGCAAAATAAAAGAACCATATTCAAAAGTATCAATTACCTTTTTAACCCATCCAAACTTCTTAGTGTTGTTTCGTACAGGCAATGAAAGCCATCCTTCTAGTCTTGATTCTATAAATAAGCAGAAGATATGAGGATAAATTTACCAATTCTCCTAAGAAAATGAGGAATTCAGTAAAATTTTAATATAAAAACCACAGAACAAATCAAATATGCCCTTCAGAATTTATCATTACACATTATCTAGGCTATAACAATTAAGCAGGATCAGTATAAGCAAGTTATGGAATGCCAAACAAAATCCAGGTTACAGTACATTGAAAATACATATTCTATAGCTTATAAAGTCAAATGCCCCCTGCTGATTAAATTCATGCATCTGCAAAATTCAGCAGAAAAGTACAAGAAAGAGAAGCAGTTCTCTA